ATGTGTTTATTGAAGTCAAAAGAAATCCATTCTGGATAGAAAAAGGTCTTGGAGATAAAAGCTTACTAAGCTATCTGCTAAGAAAGGTAAAAGGAGAAAAATACCACAATAGTATCCATGCAGCTACATCTTGCCCGGAGAAAGGCAATGGAAGACAAAGGCAGGAAGAGAAGGGGCCAAAATGGAGAATGACCATGGGGTGTGGCACAACTACTTAGTAGCCAGGTGCATTAAGTCACTACTGACCAAGAGGTCATTAGTTTGAAGACAGCCCAGGTCAGAGTGAGCTCCCAACCATTAATAGTCTAGCTTGCTGTTGAGCTTTAGTTACTTACTTTACTTAGGTGATCCCTCATTGACCAAGTAAGTATTAAAAAAAACTCACAGTGTGGTGTGTGGTGGATTTCTGGTGGGCTGCTTCTGGAGTTCTGTTTCCACAGTGTGGAATCATAGAATCATAGAATCAAAGAGTTGGAAGAGACCTCATGGGCCATCCAGTCCAACCCCATTCTGCCAAGAAGCAGGAATATTGCATTCAAATCACCCCTGACAGATGGCCATCCAGCCTCTGTTTAAAAGCTTCCAAAGAAGGAGCCTCCACCACACTCCGGGGCAGAGAGTTCCACTGCTGAACGGCTCTCACAGTCAGGAAGTTCTTCCTCATGTTCAGATGGAATCTCCTCTCTTGTAGTTTGAAGCCATTGTTCCATTGCGTCCTAGTCTCCAGGGAAGCAGAAAGGAAGCTTGCTCCCTCCTCCCTGTGGCTTCCTCTCAGTACCAGCAGGAGATGCTGATGGTGAAATAGCTATTTACTTCAGGTTGTTTTGATTTCCCATTTGCTGCTTAGAAGATGCTTTGTTTTATGTTTATTACAAAGACTGCGTAAATACGTAGCACTGCTGATTTTTGCGTGCAGCATTGCCAGATTTCTTTCATCTCTGCAAAGTCAAGAGAGTAAACATTTTCTGTTTACCTTGACTATTGGTCTGAGACTATTTTTCATCTGGGTTTTTGGGTGTTAGGACGCTGGAATAAAACACGCGCTGCGTAACAACTTCATGGTGTTCTGTTGCAGCCTTGGTTTCAAGTAACTACCGCCCAGCCAGGAGTGTTTCTTCCATAGGGACAAGTGCATGGCTGTATACCATTTTTGTGTCAAAGCCATCAAGAATACTTTATGAATGCACCTGCCCTTAACTACCGTCTTCTCCTCCATTTCCAGGTTTTCATCCTCTGCCCACCTTTAAAAGAAAGATTAACCAGAGCAGTTGATGTTCTGATTATCTCCCAAACGATTCACTCTGTGTGATCTGTAGAGGCTCAAGCAGAGCGTGTCCTCAGATTAGAAGATCTGGATCTGGATTTGGGGACCCAATGTGTGCTTCCCTCTTCCACTTGCCTCCTCTTGACATCTCAGGGGGCGTCTTTACCGCGGGCTTATCGCATTTTGGTGGCAATTGAACTGCCATGGTTCTATGCAGTGAGATCCCTATGAGGAGCAACTGAAAGAGCTCGGCATGTTTAGCCTGAAGAAAAGACGGCTGAGAGGAGACATGATGAGGGCCATGTGAGAGGAAGTCATCGGGAGGAGGGAGCAAGCTTCCTTTCTGCTGCCCTGGAGACCAGGACGCAGAACAATGGCTTCAAACTACAAGAAAGGAGATTTGTTATGAACTCAAAGGTTCCTGTCCTCTTGCAGAGTGTTCAAGGAATAATAAGGTAGTTTAGATCAATGAGACACTTTGGAGACCAAATTTGGTTTTGACACTATTCATGGAACATTTATTGAAATACAATAATCACAGAATCATATCAGAATCACATCAAGGAGAGCTCTCATGCACGCACACGTTCACACATACTCACGCACACCCAGGCCTCCTCCGGTGAAGATGATCAGTCTTTTCCGAGAAGGTGTGGACGCTCCATTGCTGCAGATCAGGAAGCGTGCATGCTGTCAGGGGTCCCCTGCATTTATAGGCCAAAATCCATTTTTCTTCTTTTCAGTAGTCTGGTTGTTCTGTTCTCTTTCAAGTCCTCTCAAATCTTTGTTCTCTTCCAAAGTTCAAGACATTTGCATTCCAGGCCTCGTGACTTATGGGGTACCTCCTGCATGCATCCTGTACTCCTTACATGCTCGGCCGCACACCTTATTGTCCAATTGTCATTCAGTTATGCCTTGCTGCATCCTCGCTTCGACTGCCAAGGCCGTCCCACATAATGCTTTGCGAGAACTCCATGTTGTTTTCTTCAGGCCTGTTCCTTCTATGTGGTCCCAATCTTCAAGAAGGGAAAAAAGGAAGACCCAAACAACTACCGTCCGGTCAGCCTCACGTCAATACCAGGCAAGATTCTGGAAAAGATTGTGAAGGAA